TGCACAATTTTTAGTTTTGCCACATTCATAATTTCAGCCATTTTTCCCAGTGGCAAAGGATGGGGATGTTGAACTTCTACTACTGATGGCGTAGTTAAAAATTAAAAATGTATGTGCTTTAAGTAACTTTATTTTGTCAATAGTTGTTTTTCATTGACACGATTGCCCTACGCGAAGAATAATGACTGTCCCCACTTTTGATGACCGCGTGGATAACGGTAGGGTCATAGTTCATTTGCGCAAACAAGCCTGGCTTTACAATGGATAATGTTGACTAAATAAGCATTTTAATTTTCAAACGCTTTCTTATGCAGAATTGAAAACAGTTAGCCGCATCAGTGAATGAAGTATATAAACAGTCCATTTTTGCCGATTGCACTTCCTCATCAGCCATCAGTGTAAATGAAGGCCGATGAAGTCGTTCAAGTTCCCTTTAAAATTGAATCAATCAATCCTTATTAGCATTGTTTCATTGATTGTTTGCTCTGTTGTACATGTTTCAGTACGTTTGCCAATTGGGCGAATGAATTGCATTGAGAATTGGAACTGTTGCTATCCAATCAATACTGGTTCTATTTTAGTAACAATTCATCATAAGGTTTGCTGACAACCGAATGGGCAATTTAGCTGTAAGGAACACTCGCATATAATTTTTACATACAGGTTCGAGTACAGGTTGTAACAAATGTGTCAAAAAAATTATTTGGTTCATGCTCGGGTTCATGTAAAAATCCCAGAAGTCTGTATTTTCTCAGAAACCGTAACGCATATCACATATAAGGTTAGAACTAAAGTCTTTTACGAGTATAGGTACCCTTTGATTCTCTGCAATTTGCTTATTTTATTTTTTCAAAAATCCCCACCCAAAAATGGTCCATCCGTGAACGGGAATTCTGCTCCTGCAGAAATTCGGTATCTACATTTTTTTTTAAATTTCAAAAAATACTGCAATTCTTGGCGTGAAGGAAAAATTCAAATTATTTCGAATTATAAAAAATTAAAATTTTACATATTGTTTATTAACATGTACCTAGGTACCGTGGTGTGCTATTTTGGTTGAGATTGCAGTGTAGGTAGGCCTCTTACCACCATTACTCTTACTACCCATGTACGATCGAAAAAATAGAAAAACTGCCTATTTTAGTTGTTTTTACGTAGAATCTAGTGGCGTAGTCCGACAAATGTTGCACCACCTTTTCTAAGGTCTAGCCACAGTTGGTGTTTTTAAAATGCACAATGAGAATACCTATCGGACAAATTTGCTGGAAAATGGAGAATATGCTCGATAGGTATTCTCGCACGATTGGGGAATTGTCCGCGGCACCGTTCTGTTGAAATCGACAAATTTCGGTTTTGCTGGCATATCTTCGAAAGTAATCGAAATTTTCTGGTTTTCTTCTCGGTCTGCTTTAAAGCATAACTTTTTAAATTGTACATTTTTTTTTTAATTTGACCATCGTCGTATCTTCTATGATTTCGGAGATCCCCATGATAGACATCCTTGTAGACAATGTATCACATTTTTCAAATTTTTGTCCGTCAGCCTGGGAGCCTGTGATGAGAATTAGCTCCGTTAATGTCTGGTTGATGGATAAGGAGTGCTCCCGCTCCCGTTTTAATCTCAGTGCATCTATCCATCTCCGATCAGATACGGATTTGGCGTTGGGATTTAAGAGTCCGAAATTATGTAGTACTCAAGCTTAATTCTAATCTGACCGTTTACATGCGGGTCGATGGCATTAGAATTGTACGAGTCTGAAACATTACTAGAATCAGACTCCAGCAGCGTCTCAATATCCACAAGCTCATCCTAGTTCGAAATCGACCCGGGTGAGTTGCTGACTCTGGGCAAGCACTGACCACACGTTGCCTTAGCAGCCTGTGTGGCTATGCTTTACTGACCCCTCAGGTTACAGGCGCTGCTTGACCCTCGCCAGGTGGTCAAGTTGCCCTGGCACCCAAATGGCAGCCTTGCAGAGCCTAAGGAGGCGGTCTTCCGGCACTACTTTTAGGTGTACAGCCTCCCGCAATTGTGGATGGTTGCCAACCACTTCCTTCCACCACGATATTCTAAGAATCTCGCCCGAGTGCCTCTAACTCTTGAACGTGAGTGCTAGTGTAGCGCCTTTTAGGGCAAACAGATGCTGGTCAAGAACTTTGGCCAGGTGTTTTTGTTCCATATCCACCTGCTTAAGCGTAAGTCTGCCCAGAGGGTTATTAGTTACGTTGATCTGCCTCTCAGCAGCTTGCTTGTAGCTACGATTGCGTGTTTCAACCTTATACACGCACCTTTGGTTAGGGCTGTTGTCTGCTCTTCTTTGTCGGCGGTTGGGTCGATATTGAGTAATCCGACCGGTGCCTCTTTTTCTTTTCGCCTACCCGTTTACCCGCCTGCCTAGAGTTAACTGTAAGAGCCTGGTTCTGAGTCCGGGTTGGTCCACGAGAGATGGCTTCTACCTCTTCTGTTTAGCGGATATGCGTTTTCGTGGTTTGGTGTGCTGAGGCTCGGTTGCCTGCAACATAGTTTGAGGGGTATCCTGAGACGCTCCCTCTGTGCCAACATTTAAACACGCATTTTCGCGTTCTAAATGCCGTTAAATACACAAATCCAAATAAACAATTACAAAAGGCATAAACTTTAAACAAAAAAATAATACGCAATTACAAACAATTCTATAAAAGGAACAATAATACCAAGACACATTTTCAAGTAAAATAAACTTTGTGCTTATTCGTAAAATTAGTCTTTCAGATTTACACTTAATAAATTGAAATATTATCATATACAGTGTCCCGTCATTATTTTTGGTGTTTAGACGGAAATAAACCCCTAAAGCAGATCTAAAAAAGCGGCAGAGCACCTCGATGTGACCCGATTGGGGCTTTGGATTTGATCCGTTTTTAATAGGCTCTTACATGTGGTAGATCGTACATATGTCAAATACGCAAAGTTTGAGCTGAATCGGTCCAAGTGTTTGGTAATTATCGTGTTCACGGACAGACGGACCCCATCGACTCCCCTACAGAGCTGGCATCGCTTTGCTCTGCCGCTAATAACGTCTGCAAGACGACAATATCTTAACAAATTTTTTGATTCGGCACTCGATTCGGCATTAGTTTCACTTTAATTCCGCGCCCTTTCGTGGTAGGAATTAAAAAAATTCTTTTGTAAAATTGGAAGGGGCATACCCGAAAACCCTCGCGAATACCTATTCGACGTGCCACCAGTCTTTCTAACTAAGAAAAAAATTAAAGATGAAATGCAAATTTCACCACTTTTTTGGGGGTGGATCCCAAACGAAACACATCGGACCTCGGTTTATTTGGAAAAAATGCTTGTCTTGATCACCCCTACTACCTAATTTGTTTTACATACTTATATGTTACACCCTGAAGATGTATGTGGTATACGGGGAAATGTCTATATACACGAAAGAACGTAGAGGGTAGTGGTAACAAAAAAGGGACAGGAATACAAAATCTGGCTAAAACGAAATTTGTTTTAAATTTGTGGTGCTCTCCGATAGATTTACTCAAACTTACGACACTTATCTTTATCTATTTGGTAAAAGGATTATACCTCAGATTATACATTTATATTACTTTGTTCATTACACGCATTTCGTCAACTTAGCCCCAGTTGCACCAACAAAATTAAGCCTTGCTTAAAGTTAAGTTGAACTTAAAATCTATGGCAACGATTATTAAGACAATCGTTGCTATGGTATTTAAGTTATGCTTAACTTTAAGGAATACTTAATTTTGAGGGTACAATTGGCCCTTAATCACATAGTGTAATCAGAGCAAATCCAAATAAAATCGCAACAATTATAAACTAATTAAAATTATCTGTGCTAATAAGCGCAAGCATTTATGGTACGTGCACACATTTTCATCATATAATCAGCCATAGCGTTGCTGATATAATAGAACTACAATTTGTCAATAATAGCATTGGTGCAAAAATGATTCGTTACCGGCGTGAACATATTTTAGTTTATAATGTATAGGTATTTTAACAGGACAACGAACTTCCGGTACTATTTGCACCATGTATGTTTACGCCCTGCATACCGATATTAATATCGCAAAAAGCATTTCGCATCAGGAGAAATTGTCCGATTAGTTCTACAAAGGTCAGAAGGCACCCAAAAGTGTCGACATACCTACTTGCTTAGAGTAAGTTCAATTTGTTCCTTATCTTTTATCGGTTATTTATAGTTAATGTTTATTGGAGCAAAGTATTTGAACTGAGCTACCTCAAAGATGGGAAAATTGCGAGGAAAATTGTTTCTATTACAAAAGTTGCCAATGTCCTATTCCAGAAAATTCACTGCATAAAGTGCATTAGTATAAATTGTGAAACGGTGCGAAGAAACCTTGACCATCGAGGCATGACTATCTCAACAAAATTGCTGTGCGTATATGGATTTTTGGTGGCTATCTCCGCGACTCATGGCCTAGTAATCTTTTTTTTTCATTGAGACCGTAAGTTTGACTAATTATTTGTGCAAGTCATTTGTGTACCTACGTACCTATTGAGATTTTGGGTACTAAATCTTGATATCATTTTTTGTTATCGGTCGTCGAGCCCGTAAAAGTTTGGCATTTTGCCAATGATATTGTTAAAGCAATAGATTTTAGATACCAAAGTTCAGTTGCATTGCAGGTGCGGAAAACTTAAGGTAAATGCACCAATAATGGGTCGCTTAAGGACGTTAACTCATATTTCTCTCGAAGTAGGACAATGACAATGACGGCAAGCCGGATTCTACTACTATCAACTTTTGTCTACAATAATCAATGGATGTAACGTTAACATGCACCTTCTAAAGTACATTAGATAATTCCAAACATTCTCGGGAGCATGTACCAATAATGAACACCCCTTATATGTGTAGATCTAATAATGGACCCCCCAAAATTGAGCCAACATTGGAATGACTATATACTATTTAAACCTGGATTTAGACAAGAAATGTTACGAACTCATGAGAATATTAAATTAGTATTTTAATAAATGGTAGATTTTACAAAAAACAGTCATGAAAAAAGTATTATAATACAAAAAAAATATAAAATATTACATTTCATTGACGGCAACTTTTTTTTTGAAAACATACGTCAATCTTCTATCAACCATTGCAACTTCGGGTTGGCTGACTACACCTAGGACTTGATTAATGGAAATGAAAGAAATGTCATTCTCAACTATAACAAACTTCATCTTTTCTGTATCTACTGATTTTAGTCCTTGTACTTTAATCCCTTCAGTACCATGTTCTTGAACTATACACAAATACGTGTATTTTGTAGACTTTCTTTTACCACCCATGAATTCTACCAAAACGTAGTTCCCTGTTTTAACTTCCTTCGTTTGTACGGCAGATTCTATGTCTTCACTTCCATCAGTTTCTACTTCCCATGGTGAATCGGATGACTCCTGTAGTGGTGGTTCCAAATCACTAGCAGTTGATTCTGATTCATCGTGTAATCGTTTTTTCTTTTTTTCTGCTGCATTCCTTTTTTTTTCTTCTGTGGTTCTTTTCTTTTCTTCTCGTTTCATTTTTCTTTCTTCTTTTTCTTCTTCTTTTTTTTTCTTTAATTCCTCTTTCTTCTTATAGTAAGTGAGCATACTTGGAGACGTACACACAGCGGGAATTTTTTCCTTCGCTCTCTTTTTTGGGCCAGCTGTTTGAACCGGCCATAAAAACGCCCTTTTAAATGGTGACGGGTAGAGACATATGTGACGTGTGACCATCCATGAAAAAAACCACTGGTCTGGCTATATTGGTCAATGTTAACCACGGTTCGAATATAATCGCCATATATTCGTAAAACGTTTCTTGCGTCATCCAGCCATTTTCTGACCTTCCCATTGCCCATCCAGGTGGTACCGAATGAGCTATGTTGGCGGGAATTCTTGCGTACCTGTAAAGTTTCCACTACTGGCAAATGCAAGTACTTAGAAGAACTGTGGATATGAATCAAAAAAGAATAATAAATACGTACCTATACACAATCATCGGTGGTGCAAGCTGACCTGCAGCATTTGCAGTAATCAAAACCGTCAAATTTTCTTTTTCATCAGCACCAGCGGCTGTATAAACATTCTTAATTCCCTTTTCGGCCAATACTTTTCCAGGTTTTGGATTTAAAAAAAACGCAGTTTCGTCCGTATTAAAAATGCGTGCAGGGTCTTCGAATGCTGCTTGAAGTTGGTTTTCTTTGACATAAGATTCCACTTCGTTAAACCACCTATCAAGATCTTCTTGTTGGACATCTCTTCTTCGTGACGTCAAATTTTGACTAGTTCGGTCACTTATTTGCGGATGACGTTTTCGAAAACACTCATACCATTTTCTTCCTGGTCTTGTCTTCCCTTCTGCAAATGTCACTCCAACCTCACTTGCCAGCTTTTCTACGCTGTAAAGCAAGGTTTCTTTAGATACAGGAAATCCTGCTTTAGCCATGGTTTTAATCCAAAACACGATTATTCTTTCGTGTTCCTCACATAAAACTGTGGATGGTCCTGTTTTGGTAGCTAATATTCCTCCCTTTGATTTCCGAAGGAGGGTCGCTCGTGGTATGGAATGGGAATGGGATCGAATTAGTATTTCATGCCATGCATATTTCAACCTTAAGCACGATTTTGGCGCATGCTCCTATATTGGGCCACGTGGCCCAATATAGGCGCCCTGGACATTTTAATGTTCCTAAAATGAACCCCCCTAAAATTAATTGATATTTCGTTTTTTTTAAATAGATTTATATAACATGACTTAAAGAAAGCTCTCTAAGTTAGTATAAGGTCTCATTCTGGTGAAAAATAAGAAATACGAAAGTAAAATAAAAATGACGAATTAACTTACCTCCTTAGCATGAACGTTTAAAAAAACTACTGAACACTGAGAAGTACAACGACACTACATAAATGCTTTCATTGTTTAAAATACAGCAACACGATCATAACGCGACCCTTTTCAGGTACTTCTGTAATGAATAGGCTTACTCATTGTTTATATACCACTTCCCCTCAATGTCGGGAATTCTTGTTTTTAAGGCATTATTTTCAGTGACTCATTTTTGGTGCGTGGTCCATTTTAGGTGCTTTTACCTTACTACATACCGAAATCCTCTCGGGTAGGAAAATAAACTACATATGGCGTTGTTTCTCCAATTTTCAAAAAAATGCAAAATAAAATTCTTTGAAATAAACTTCATTGAATCCAGGACCGGATTAAGAGTATTATGGTCTCTAATATTCCGAAGGCAAATATGGATATTCCGGAATCGACTACAATCGTTTCAATTTAGGTATAGTTGAGATGCATCATAACCTCGATCATAACGTATCATCCAAGCTTAAGCTTGAATATTTTGTACTATAATTGGCAATGTTTTTCTTTATTTAAAAAATGAATTTTAAACTCAAATACTCGAATTCGTAATATTCTTGACCGTGATCCATATTTTGTTGCCTCAACCGGAATTAGTTGACATCCATTTAAGTTTATTGTGAAACATCGCATAGAAGCTGAAAAATACTACTGTTATTAACTGGTACAAGTAAACAAAGCTTTGCATAATCTATTATGTCCAAAAGAAGATAAACAAAGTGGCACGTGGAAGAAAATTATGACAAACACCTGACAATACATATTCATTAAGCTCTACCTATATTTCGAGATCGTGTTGTATCATTTAAATTGCTTAGTGAAAGTATTTCCAATTTTATACTGATTATATCGTGTATCTTACCTACGTATTGTACTAACAACAAAGGCACGAACACTTAGAAGCATTCATAGTTTTTTTGTTAACTTGCACACGACACGTTTATCATCACGAAAAAAACAAACGGTTCTATGGCTCCGGAAAAATCGTCAGACACTTACGCATTTTTTTTGCATTAACAATTTTGTACACAGGGTGTTTCAAGTGCGAAATATGACGTAGAGATTAATTTTTGTAGTGCAACGCCCAGTAGAATGTGTTAATTTACAATTTTACGATCGGTTCTGAATACTTTTCGTCTAACACACCACGCGGTTAATGTGGACGATTTTTGAAGTGGCATATTGCTTATGCTAATGAAACATACGACAGGAAATACAGGTGATTTAAAGTATACAATTGTTTTCCGATTTCAGAAATGTCTTGAAATAAATGGACAACAGATTTAATATGAGTTGCAGTATGCAATGTGTAGATATAGGTAGGTGTTTCATTTTCAGTAGTCTATATTTCGCCAGATTTGAAAAGGCGTCGAATTTAGGTGTACGACAAATATTCAAACTAAATATGCGACAATATGCAGGGCCGAGTGCTGCAGGGCGTTCCATCTAAATAAATTAACGCCAATGTCACACGTTCCACAGGAGACACCCTGGAGATAAGATTTTAATGCAAAACAACGCACCAATCGACGAGTAGGATTTTTCGAGATCACGAAAACCAGAATTGTTTCTCTGGTCATAGATATTAGACACTAATAGAAGTGAAACCGAATTCATCAGATGCAGTATTTGGCAGTAAATCGCCTCCGCCACAATCTAGATTTAAAGTCTACCTACAACGATATATTTTCGAAAATAGACGTTGAAGTATTTTTCTGCTACTCAATCGTCCCCCGTTCGGTTTTCCCTATTCCGTTCTGGGTCCATTGGAATATAATTGGCCCCAAATGAAAAGGAAATTAAACTAATTTAATAGGTACAATCCACTTGAGTAATTTGTAGTAAATTTTCCATTGTCCTTGTCGAGATAATTGAACTTTTAGACGTTGCTATCCTGTCGTCTACGTTACTATCCTGTCGTCTACGTCAAAATAAGTACCAGTGTGATTTGATTGAATTAAGGTCAAAAACACGAATCGCTCCGGGAATCGATCGCAGACAAACTGCTTTGTAGTTTGTTAATTGATCATTTAAAAATGAAGTTCAAACTTGCGCCACCTCAACATTCTTCCTGACTTCCTACTCGTACGTCATTATGCAAAATCGAATTATACACAACACATGCCGTATGCTTGCATATTGAGAGGAACAGATGACTCGAACCCGCTAAAAATTCCTCATTTACTTTACTGGTTGAAGTAATTTTCCTATAAATTTTTGTTTAGAAAGCCGCTACACTATCCTACTTCATCACCGTAAATCGTATATGTGATGCTGTCAATGTGGTCAAAATTTTGTTATCCGCATTTAGGACATACGAAGTTTGAGTTTTTATTAAATGCGTTTTGATTTGATCAACCTGTAGAGAATTAGAATGATTTCTAATATTGTAGCCATAGCCTTTCGTAGTGATACGTTTCTGGTCTGAGTTCATGTCTATATTTGGAGACAAAGGTGCGTCAATTTTCTTTGGGAGAATTTCAAACGCACTATATACTGCTACTTTTTTATGTGGATTATCACATGGTAGTCCAAAAATTGCCGTGGGGGTACGAAACGTACGTTCTTGTTTTAAATCGGTAATAAGTGAAATGGAATATATATCAAAACAAAACGTTTAATCACAAGGACTTGCTGAATTTTGCACAAACTTTGCATTAACCGCATTTTATTTTGTTACAGAGCATTATCCACTGTAAATGCCACAATCGCACCCAAATCGACCATTACTTGGGTAACTAAGGAGGAAAGTAGAGATTTTATGGCAGTATTTCCCGATTTGGTCAGGGACCTTACGGACGATGAAGAGTATCCAGACATACCCCTAGTTACGAAAAGATTTGCAAAGGTTTTGCAATACAACGTACCGCTCGGGAAGAAAACCAGAGGTCTTAGCACGGTGGCATCCTATAAATTAATAGCAACTCCCGAAGATCTCACCAATGAAAATGTTCGTCTCGCACAAATATTGGGATGGTGTGTGGAATTGGTAAGTAATTAAAACGCTTGCGAATTGTTTAAATGAGAAATCCTCATTCTGAAATGGCGCAATTGGAACAAGATACGAAAAATCGCATATCTTGAGTAGGGGAATTTTTGACACTCAACACTTAAACATTTGTTCTTTCTGTGCAAATCCAAGTTTAACTTTTTAATACTGATCAAACCCCCGTTTTTAGTGGAATTTTCGAAAGAAATTCCCCGTTTGTGATATTTCTGTCAGCCCTTCTGTCTCGTCTAACGAAAGTCGTGTTTCTGAATTCGAGTCGAGTGTCAAAAAATTCCCGTACTGAAAATTGTATATGGGACTTCGTATCGTGTTATATCTTAATATACCATATGTGAAATACATCTGCACACAGACATTTTTCAACGATCTTTTTTCGCTCACCTTACGTGTTATCAGTAGGTAATCTACACGAGAAATGCCCTATAGTCCAGTGAAATTAGCGCAATTTTGGACAAATAAAAACATTAATCGGTAAAGATCTGAATTTTGGTATACACGTTTATTGGGACTTTCTATTGAACGTACTAACTAAAAGTCCCTGTCAAAATCTGTTGCGCTTAGGCAGCCATCTTGGAAAAACTGTACAATTTTTCAGTGTTTTGTCCATATCTCGGTAACAATTACTGATACGAAGAAATAGTTTAGATAAAGAATATAGTTTACTAAATTCCCTATAAAATATAGTATTCGCATTTTTTTGTATCTCCAATACTTTAGGTGCAATCTGTTGTTGAATACGTCAGAACGCGTTTAGGCCCCGTTTTGTAATTGTAGGAAGGAGGCCGTTTTTTTATGACTACACAAGCACTTATCGTCAAGACCGGAATGGAAATATCTCTGTCTGCAAGTTTTGTCATTGTTGCCGCAGGATCTCCTTGTTCTACTAACTGCATTGGCCCCGCAAGACAATAAAATGTTTTTCATGAAACCATAAAAGGGAAGAATTGAGTGAAAAATATACTTCTGGAGTATCTGACACTGAAGGGTCCCGTTCCAAATTCAGTGCTCTCATTACTATTCTGCAATTGTAAAAAAGGATGTATCTTATCTTGTGGATGTCGGAAATCAGACTAAAATGCGCAGCGATTTGTGGACATTGCCAATTTTTCAATAAATTTAATGATTTTTTCATTCATTCATAATCTTTTCAGTTCATAAAGCTGTAAAAAGCTATCTGTGCGACAGTTTAGACAGTTCAGGATTCCTTATTTGATGTCGGATTATAGCTAAAGTATTGGACAAAATGTTAATATGCTTTTTTATGGGTAAATAAACTATATTTATTATCTAATCTATTTTTCCGTATATGTCTATATCATGTTTCGCTGCATTTTCGCTCACGATTTTATTTTTGTAGCTGTTGGTTGTTGAAATGTTTTTTAGCTTTTTTTGTCGAGTACAATTGAAATACCAATAAAATTTAACTGTGTGTAGGTATTGATCGCAAACAAGTAAGAAGTCCAAGGAGTAAGAGTAATTAATGTTATAATGCTTTTGTTTTTTTATTTACTTCTCGACTAGATAATGGAAATTTGGTGTTTATGGCCCTTATAATATGCCACTCAGTGTGCTATCAAACGTCCTCCTTGCTATCTGAATCTGTCTGTTATTGTTTATATGCAAATTACCTTATTATATAAGGTGGGTAGTTTTGAAACGAAAATAGTTTATTTAAATTAGACAGTGAATAATCTCAAATTTACATACTCTCACCAGATTAAATATTGTGAGTCAATCTTATCCACATGTACAGATATCTAAATGTATACCTATACCTATACAGCGAGCGTGTTTTCCTTAAAAACTTTATTTCATGAATTGTTGTAATTATGTCATGAGAAGTCAGCATTACTTAATAATTTCAAAATATGGGTATATGATGCAACATACCCAACTCGCATAAATTTATAACGTAAAGCTTTAACTTTTTTGTTTGTCAGTACATCAAACGTCATAATTAACAAATTATTTCTTTTGTGAAAGAGTAATTTAAAATCAAAGTCCACCTTAGCTGAAGAAACTGAAAAGCTTTTTACTTGGATTGGAAGTCAATATAACTTATCCAAATGAGAAAATTTCCGCTTTGCATTCCACTTTCTAAAAAAACTAGTCAATTTGGACACAGGAGTTTGCATTTCCAAATCTGAGACTTTTGGCAATTTCTCAGCACTCATAATAAAACGGATTAAGTAAAGCATAGATCTTAAGACTAATCCTGAAAATAATTTATCTGTCTCGTTTGGATTACAAAAAAACAATTTATTTTGATTTGATACAAATTTCGAATTAAAAAACAGTCTGTTTTAGGCGTATTTGGACTTAAAATAATGACGTGAAAATTTTGATTTAACTAGAAAATATGTTGTCTAAATCAGATTCTTTAAATAGAACAGAAGTGTATTTTCAATATTTTCTCATAGAAGAAAGTTTGGGATTTTTTAAATGAGTTCCACAGGATTCATGTAAAAAGCGCCAGGATTAAAATTCTCGTTGACTGTTCATGCAAATCTTTTGCAATTATGTTTTATTTGTTTCCTAGTTGCATTCATCCTTCCTGATCAATGATGACATCATGGACAGCTCTGAAACACGCAGAGGCTCACCCTGTTGGTACTTAGTGGAAGGCGTGGGAATGCAAGCCATAAACGACGCGTTATTAATTGAAAATGGATTATATATGCTACTTAAAAAATATTTCTTCAATCATCACTGCTACGTTCCGGCCATGGAGTTATTCCATGAAACAGTGATGAAAACAACAATGGGACAAACTCTAGATGTACTTTGTATGAAAAATGGCAAACCTGCGTTTGAAACGTTTACTATGAACAGATATAATTCCATAGTCAAGTACAAAACTGCATTTTATTCCTTTCAATTGCCAGTAGCGCTGGCTATGTATTTAGCTGGAAAATATGATGCGGAATTGCACAGGCAAGCTACAACAATTCTATTAGAAATGGGTCACTACTTCCAAGTACAGGTGAGAGCCTTAAGTACCTTTTTCTGTTATTCAATGTGTCAATTTTGTAGGATGACTTTTTGGATTGCTTTGGGGATTCCTCCGTAATGGGTAAAAAAGGGACTGATATTCAAGATGGTAAATGTTCATGGTTGGCAGTACTGGCCCTTCAACGTGCTTCGGCCGACCAAAGAAAAATCTTTGAACAAAATTATGGTAAACCAAATCCAGAAAGTGTGGCTATAATCCGTGGGTTATATGAAGATCTTGGTCTTCCTAATACCTTTGCAATTTATGAAGAAGAAAACTACAATCTTATTAGGACACATATTCAGCAAACTTCACAAGGTTTACCTCACAAACTGTTCTTTAAATTCTTAGATAGTTTTTATAGAAGAGACTCGTAAGCTTTCATATTTTTGTGCAGTAGATCTATGTGTACATGTAATATAATTATAGGATTTTATGTAGGTAGATTATAAGTTGTGTGTGTGTGTGTGTGTAACTTAGTGTACGATTTTGTTTATATCTCTTGTAATATAAGATATATAAATAGTATGAAGATCTGTCTTTCTGTTAAACAAAAAGTATCGAGACCAAAATGAAATCTAAGATTGAGGTCACAGGTAATGTATAATAACTTTCTTTTGTTTAAATAAAAAAAATTACATTTTAATCAAGTAGGCCTATTTGATAATCTAAAAATTCACTATTGCTCCAATTAATAAGAAGAATCTTGTAATTTGTTTTGACATTTTTGAGTTTCTTCTATCAAAAAGTGAAAATTTGTGAATCGACGAATAAGCACATACTTGGAAGCACTGTGTGTAATAAGCAGAGGTAGATGAACTATCTAGTATTAGCACAAAGTGAGTCCAGTTATGGTCAATGCAAGACAAAAGAAAGTGAAACTATACAGGCTCTGTGGAGTCTTATGTAGTTTTTGTAGGAAAGTCATGATCACTGGCAATATCACAAAACTTGAAACAAACTGTAAAAGATACGGAAAAATGTATAGAAGATAAATTGCAGCATGTTTAGCGGTGGACTTGCGCCGTACGCAATCAACATTCACATTCATGGCCTTTTCTCGCTCTTCAACGGTGTAAAGATGACACTTCTTTCAATCCTTCGCTTCCTTCTTTTTCTAACGATATATTTTAGAAGAAAAAAGAGCGCGCTCGGGGGATTCGAACCCACGTTGCAGTTCCTCTATGCACCATTCTGTCACTTATAAAGCGACAAACTAATAGGTATAATTAACAATAATCTTAAATGTATTTTATTACTCCGAAGTGCATTAAATATGCTTTAAATGTGTATACAGTAGAGTCCCGGTAATTCGAGTTGAATGGGACTGAAGCTATCTCGCGCTGTGAAAAACTCTAATTATACGGAACATTAACAGAAAAACAGGTAGGAGTTGGGCGTTAAGAAAACTACAGTATGTATTGTTTAAGTGATTTAAAACCGCATTCACATTTTATTAAACTAAATACATAATATGTACCTACAAATTGAACGTTAAAAAATAAAAAGGACTTCAAACATCTTATGTTTTGAAAAAGTCTTCAGTAGTCTGTCTTATTAGCGTGGAAGTTAAGCACTGGTTGCCTCGAGGCCTATCAAGGTTCGCTCCACAGACCATCAGTTCGCTCTCCTTCTATTCATGAACGGCACAACCTTGATCTTTACCGAGTTAACGGAAAGACCATGGCTGCTGCACCGCCTGTCCAATAGCTTTCTGCAAAAGCTCTTTTAAGGTGTTTGGAAACTTTCCACTCATGACGATCGCGAAATCATCCGTGTATCCCTGTGTATACGCACCGTCCTTGTTCAGAGTGCAGAGGAGCTCGTTGGGCACCAGGCGCTACAGCAATGCAGACAAAACTACACACTGCTGGTCTAGTGACGGTGGCAGACCGTCTATAATACCCCAGGTCCTCTATAATCCTCGTTTTGACATCCGCAGGTAGATTAGTTCGCAGGACACTCTTAAAGAGCCTGCGAACCTTCTTACGATACTTTTCTAGGTCGCTTACCATTCTTCATATCTCGAAAGGTGCGCGAGTTCGCAGCTGCCCTCATATGACGCTATTATTACGTCCGGTACTCTTAATCTGCTTCTCTACCACGTACAGTATTTAATTGGCCAACCCCTTCAGAAGGAAGTGGTGGTCTTGGTCTCCAACAACATTCGCGGCATAACTTACTGACCAAGTTACGTTAACAATTACAACGCAAAAGTTATCCCTTGAAGAGGTAGGTAGGTATTTAACTACTTATATGCTTTATAATACGCAGAAGTAAAGATGGTCTCCCCTGGCTGGAAAAATGTTTTGGGGAATTCCCGTTGTTGGGATGTTTATCTCATTGTCCCATTCTCTAGATGGTCGTTACAATCAATACATACCACATGCCGCCCAATTAAATTGACATCTTCGCACGGAAACACCCTGACAGTTTTAACCCCCGCGAGCTGGGCTGGTATTGTTCAGCAGGAAATACCCGGAGAAAGGACACTCTACAAGTAGGTACTAAATAAAACGCCAGTCTTAAAATCCCAAACACATATACTTCGAAGTTAATGAGAGGGCGCTGAAACTAATCAATACGAAGACGGGGCAACAATAATGAAATTACGTCGGCACAACAGTCAGATATACCTATAGGTACCTAGTTATTTTGCATTCAAAATAAAGGTATTTGAAAAGAGCTACCGATTTATCCTTATATAGGTATATTTTATGTAGTCTTTCATTTAAAAGAAGTGATAACAAATTATTATTAGTATTATCATAGTATAATACAAATAGTAAGCCAACCGGTTCGCGCCAATTCTTGATGATTGTAAAAAGATGTACCGGTACATGCTGCCACCTAGTTGAGAGTAGCTCAATACGCCCATCTTAGAAACTACATTAATTATTGTCACGGAACGATCGAAGCGGGAAAATACAAAACATGTTCGGTAATCGAGTTTAAATATTCTTCCCATATCGTATTCCTATTTCATATCGTCATAATTAAGCACTATACTTGCAAGCAGAGCTGGAATGATTACCTACTCCAAACAGTATTCGAATACTGATTACAAATTACTTTATCATAAAAGTGTTTACGTAGGTATTTGATTAGGTACCTACTTTACAAAATTTGTATTTAATTATTGATTACAATTTGTAATCGATTTACTTTAGCATCGTAATTACATTAACTACATTTTTAAACTTGCATCGTGCATGCGCACGTATCCATACTTTATTTATCGTTATCGAGTTCGTTGATTCTTTGTTATTACTTATTAACGATCCTCGTGACCGTTCATAATTTTGTATTGCTGTCTGTCTGTCCGTTTGTCGCCCGTGTGCACGATAACTTTGTGTAGAAACGTCCAATCATTTTGAAAATGGGTACACATATCCTTAAGGATATAAGAAATGTCGCCATTGTTTTTCAGCTGAGTAAACTAACGCACCAAAAAGTTACAGCCCAAAAACTGCCCACACCTGAAAAGGTTTTTTATAATTTTTGTTGTTTGTACATTGAATGTCCGGTTTTCTGTGTTAGCAAATATTCCTTAAACTACGCAGATACATAAAAAATTTGCCCCAACTTTTGTATCTGCGCAATCCAATTTTTTTTTGTTAAGATGGGAAAATGAAATTTTGTACCTCGAATAGAAATAAAACTAATGCCGAATCAAGAAAATTGTTTTACAAGCTATGCTGATCTGGTGGGATCACCGAGTCAACCCCTTAAGATGTACTATGAAAACGATGGATGGGATCTCGAAGATCGTTCGGTATTCTGTTCTCTTGTATCAGATTTTTAGAAAGATATTTCAATAAATCCAGATATTCCATAAGCAAAAATATTAAAGAGAGTATAACCCGTGCACTTGGAAACAGTAAGCCAGTGTAATATAGATATTACCCTGTTGAAGTTAAACACATTTCATATGGCTAACTGTACTGGGTTCAGCGACATCTACTGAAAGGAAGATTCAATGACAATTGGTAGCACCGAATGTTGTATTATGGGCGCACACCACTTTACAAATATTCCGACTCGTGAGCCATCTAGCAATCACAAATATGAACTAACCAAAATTCAAACGCGTTGTTTTACTATTGTGTTATATTATGGTATTATATAGCTATATATGCTGTTATTATCTGTATGTAACCTTTGAATATGAAATATATTATATTCAAAGAGATGTAACCTAAATCTAGGGATGCCACCTGACACCTATACGGTTTTCATCCGGAAAGTCCGGTTTTTTAAAGGTTTGTTCGGAGTCGGGTCGCAGCATGGAAATGTCCGGGAATATCTGGATAATTCGTGACGTTGACCCCTTTATTAATAATAATAAACTGAACCATTATTGATAACGAGCGACAAGGTCACTTCCGATTGACGTGTACTGACCAAAATTTAATCAGTTAGTCCCTTGACCATTGTCTATCTATTACGGAAATCTATATGTACAATATGCATCCTGTATAGAAAATTTTTAGTGCAGAAGAAACGCGCAAGTCAAAATACTAATCTTAAGGGTGCATTGCCGCCCCCCTGCAAATTACATTACATCTTTTAAACCTATATTGACAATCATTATTCTAATCTGATATGGTACAGAGACAGAGATATTGGACAGAGACGCAGACGTCTACGAGCGTATCGTACGCCCATCGCCGCATTCGCCCATTTTTGCGGAACGCCGGTGTATCATTACTTAAAAATTCAATAACATAAATCCTAATTTATGATCCCTATTCTCCAAGAAAATTGACCCCTGCTCCCATGCAAAAAATTAAAACCCGCCGTCCCTGAACCAAACTACTTCAATACAAGAAGATAAAGTAAAAGAATCAGAATTTATTATGCTAGAAGAACGGTAAACAAAAAATTAGATGTATAATTTATGACTTCCTCTTATAAATACTATTTAAGAGGTTAATGAACAGTTTGTTCAGTAACCGGTGCGGAATTTCTTGAATACGCGTTGTAATAAACTGGTAACTTTCCTCTTCATACGTTCTAAATGCACACTGCATACCTATCCAATTCTTTATATAAGTTGCGAATGATCATTACACTTTCCGAATTCGTTCTGCCATAGTTTTGTTCAAATGTTACCCTTTGTTTTGGGGACACACGTTGGAGTGCCTCAACAGCTAGCCAGGAACACTTACCATCTTGAATGTCAGTACTATTTTTACCCATTACAGAGGGATTACCAAAACAATCCAAGTAGTCATCCTAGGAGTAATCGTATCAAAACAATCATAAGCTTCGTACCTACCTGTATTTGAAAGTATCGCCCCATGCTTAATAGAACTGTAGAGACTTGTTTGACCATTTCAGGGTCGTACTTTTTTGCCATATGCATTGCCAATAAAATAGGTAGCTCGAAAGTATACGTACTTTTGTACTTGGTCAATGAATTGTATGTATCCATAGTAGGTAAATAAATGAATTTGTGGTATTCCATCGTTCATACAGTACAGATCTAAGGCTTGACCCATATTTAATGTCACTATTATGTTCATGAATAACGTGACAACTGGAATGTAGCAATGATGATTGGAAAAATATTTCTTAAGTATCAGATATACTCCGCTTCGAACCATACATGCATCATTAAGCGCTGTCATTCCCACTCCCTCGACTAAATACCAGCAAGGTAAACCCCGGCGTGTTGTAGACGAATCTGCTACATCGTCAACAATCACACAAAATAATTGCACCTAGAAATGCGTAACAGATAAAGCATTAGGTACACTCTATAGCGGTGTATTATTAGGCCAGCGATTAACTCCAGGTACTGACCCCTAAGAAAATCCGGGAGGACCGGGAATCAATCCCGGTATCTCTTCGTTCTTAACTTAAAGACAATGAAGAAATTTGAGTGTATGACGGCTTAGAACATTGATTATAAAAGTTCGTAAATGTGGGTACCCACTTACCATTTCTACGCACCATCCCATTACATTCGCCAACCGAATATTCTCACTTGTGAGATTTTCTGGATCTTCTAATGCTTTGTAACATGCTACTGTGGTGAGGCCTCTAGATTTTTTTCCCAAGGGTACGTTATATTCCAACACTTTTGCCAGTCTTTTGCAGCTTACTTCCATATCTGGGTATTGTCTATTGTTCGTAAGTTCTCTAACAATGTCAGGAAACACCGACAGAAATTCGTCCTCTTTTGTTATCCATTCGTTAGTTGTTTTGGAATATTTTGTAGTAGCAGGTATGGTCCTGAAATATATAAAAAAATTATCAAAGTCCTCGTGTAAGATAGAAGGCATTTTTGTGTGGCAGATCACTGTTTTATTGGCCAGTAGTGTTGACTCCGCCATCAATAAGATCTTGTCGAAGGCTACCACATTCATTTTGTCGGTACCCGCTTCCCACTTCACATGCACCCGCAATTCCCGTTTGAAGTTTTGACTCCACCATCAGTAAGATCTCGTCGGGGGTTATCATATTCCCTTTGTCGGTACTCACCTCCGACGTCCCGTGCACCCGCAATTAGAGTTTCACCATCAGTAAGATCTTATCGGGGGCTACCACATTCTCTTTGTCGGTACACAGTTCCGACATCCCGTTCACTCGCAATTCGCATTTTGGTGGATTTCGCTAAAAACCCGGCACAAAATAGTACTCAATTTTTGGGGAACTTCTCATAGCTCGAGCTTCTATTGGCCACACGAGAAAGACAAACCACGATTCGAGCTTTAAGAAACTTTTGAGCGCCCAAAGTCGACTACTCTTCGAAGCGCACCGTGCAAAAGGTGGTTCATTTCACCTCTAGGAAAAAAAACAAAATTCCGCCGCGCAAGAGTTGTGCGCGTTTACAAGATCTTTCTGACGATACGGACGACGATTTGGAAACAATTGGACCAAAACTGTAGAAGAAGATAGGAAAAAACTGAAAAACCTCCAGGTTAGTATGAGACGCTCGGGGATGGCGTCCAGATGTCGCCTACCCCATCCCTAAAGTTGTAAATTACACGGCTTCGATAGGTACATGGGGGGAAAAGTGTAGAAAATACAACATACCGCGTTTGGTAAAAAATGAAGTACGAGTAGGTATAATGAAGTAGAGGGCAGGAATAAATCAATATCATTTGTTAAACTTCGTAAACACACCTTACCCCTTGTTTTCGCTCATAGAATATTTCAGAAAACTGGTACATCCTTGAAGAAATGTTTCATTATTTAGAAAATTTGAAGTACTATTTAATCCACTAAGACGAAAAACTCTTCGATAATAGGTAATATATCATGGTGCTATTATTAATTAAATCTGTACCGGTAATCCAACTTGTAACAGCAGCATTTTAACGTCACATACAGGGTGATTCCTATAGTACCTGCCACCGTTTGGGAGCGTATAGGGGGTGCCTAGGGGAGTATTTTGATATAGGACACTTGGGGTCGGAAATCTAAAATAAGGGCGCCAGAACCAAATTTATCTTCTGGAATTTCACGCCTGTATGTAGGCAACCCAACCGACCGACGTTTCGCGCGGAGCGATGCAGAGCGAGTTAGCGCGAGGAAGCGACATGGGAGGGAAGGAGGGAAAACGACAGTCAAAAGCAATAACGTTTACAAGTGTTCAACGTGGCCACCGTTGTTCTCAATGCACTTCCTACATCTAGCCAACTATTATTATACTATTGCCATAGTGTTTATTCACTTGATACGCGTCGTTGCAGACGGGATTTCGTGGGTTTAAACAAAATTCTGATCAAGTGTCAGCCACACATCGCCGCCTGAGATCGCTCCGTGTGCACCGCCGGCCGGTTGGGTTGGCTACCTACAGGCGCGAAATTCCAGAAGGTAAATTTGGCTCTGGCACCCTTATTTTAGATTTCCGACCCCAAGTGTCCTATATCAAAATACTCCCCTACGTACCACCTACACGGCGCTGAAAAAATTGAGAATCAACATCACATTCCAGAACGCTCCATAAACCTGAGTAACCTGACAAATTGTAGTTAGGTTGCCTAACCACAATTTAACACGCTGTGATATGAATTTTAATGTAATGTTTTAATCTGTTTTAATTTATTTATTTAATGTTTTTAAGGTCTTACTTCATTTAATTGATGTTAAAAACATGACTTGTCTCCGTACCGTTATATTCATATTTTTGTACTTTTCATAGCCGACGCTCGGCTGGATGATAACGTGGTACGCTGAAATCGATCGCCTTTAGAAATAAAAAATTTTGAGTCTCAATTTTCAATTTTAATTTCTCTATATCTAACTCAAACATAACATGGAGTTCTTCATCAACACAGACGTCGTTAGGAAAGTGGACATTGCCGGAATAACCAGACCGAAAAAAGCAATAGTCGCTGGGTATAAATCGCCGGGATAATAATTGTATAGATAGTGTTGTCGCCGGAAAACAGAGAACAAAGGTGTAGACACTTCCAAACTGCCTTTTGGGATTTCTTCATTACACGCCTGGATACGATTTTTGAATTTTTCTTGCATTTGGGATACAAACTTGATATCAAGAAGTGGCAGTTAACACTCAGAAGAAGACAAGAAGAAGTCAAACCGCGTAAATTGAAGTTCAAGAAAAATTAAAAAATGAGTTAATTTTGAAGCAAAACCAGCGTGGCAATTACCGCCTATTTGGGAAAAAGTGCAAGTGATAGGTAGTTAGAGGGTTAGTATAAATTTTGAGAAGTTCAAGGACTACTGCATTAAAGTTTGCAAGGCGAATAGTAGAATTGTATCCGTGGTATATGATACCAAAGAGTATACAACGAAACTCTTTGATGATACCCACTGAAGTTCATAATATTCTCACTCACGAGTCACGGATAATTATAGAGTGAGTCCAATGCCGATTAGTATTAGTGCAGGTGCCTCCGTACCCTCGGGTGTGTATTATTGAAACTAAAGGCCAGAAGCTGTAAAGAGGAAGTGGTAGAAGAAATTATTAATAGATTATAGACTTTATTGCTAATTAAAAATCCTAATAATTATAATATTATTATAACTTATAAGTATCTCCTATATCATTCTAATACTTTTTACTATTAAAACGCAATATAACAGATTAACTATATCTCGAGCATGTCAATAAAGAGAACTATGGAAAAGTAATTTGCCTATCTTAAGGGATTATAATTATTTCTATTATTATTGTCTAGTAAAACACGTCATAAATTTCTAGAAATGAAAACCAAGTGGCAACAGTAGCTTTTAAATAATTTAAGGGTACCTAATTGTGGTACCTTTTTTGAACTCAAATATCTTCCACAATTGAAGGAAAGCTTACAATGTATTTCAATGGTGAATGTACTGACCAGGGATCTTCATTTATTGGGCTGTAAGGCTGAAATGTTCATTTAATTTGTTATTACACTTGACAATGTACCGTTACATCTTGTCATTGTGCACTTAATTGTTGATGGTACTGTCTCATGTATCTTTTATAAATACTGTCTAATACTTTCAAACAAAAAGTTTGCACAGAAGTTTCCGAGATCATTTGGATGTCATATTTCAGTTCGTTATAGGTATCATCTTCAAACTGCGCGTATACCTTCGGAAGATCCAGATCTTTATACACAGCAAGAACCGCAGCTTTATTTTTGGTATGACCTTTGCCGTAGTTTTGAAGTAATATGTCCTTCTGTGTTGAAGACGCCAGTAGCATTGCGTGCAATATCAACCAGGAAATTTTACCTTCCTGAATATCTGTACCGTGTTTACCTGTTATACTGTGATCGACAAAACCATCGAAAAAATCATTCTAGAATGTACTTATACAACGTGAAACAAAATTATGTGTTGTTTCTCACCTGCGACTGGAAATAGGATCCAATTTTGATGAAAATTTCGTCTACTTGCTTTAGCAATTTATAATCGCGTTTAGAAGACAAATGCATCGCCAAATGCAGTGGAAAAGAGAATAGAAGGCCGGCTTTAAACTTGATGGTTGCTTTGTAGTTGTCAATGTTGAAAGTATTCTGATCAAGCAGATCAACTTTCACCATAGATATCGTATCGTTGGTCTGTCCCATTGCTAACTGCCCTATATATCGCTGAAATAATTCCATTGTTGGAAGATAGCAATGATGATCACGTAAATGGTTTCTCAGTATGGAAAAGATTCCACTTTTCACAAACATTACGTCATTTATCGCGGACATTCCCACATCTTCTAATAGATGCCAACAACGTCTACCACGACGTGTCTCAGAAAAGTCGATCATATCGTCGGAAACCGTAAAAACTGTAACCAACTGAAACAACAATAATTAATGATTAACATAGTATTTTTTTAAGAATTAACGTAATAATCACGAAGTTTAAAAAAGGCCTGTTTATACTGCCACAACACAAACTGACGTTTCCAGCTCAGCTATTTTCATAATCACGCAAAAGTCTCCTTTAGCTAAAGTCAACTTTATGTCAAAATTAAGACGGCTGTTATGGACCAACTCCTCCAATTCTAGGGGAAAATAACATATTGAGTTAAAAATGATATTAGATACGGTAACCTGTAATGAATATCATAGAATTGTTTGTCTTTAACAGCAACAGTCAACTTTAGATAGAGGAGACTTTTGCGTGATTGTGAAATGTTCCCTTAATCAATTATCTTTACATAAGTCAGGAAAATGATACATTACTGGCGAGAAAATGTTGAAGTAAGAGATCTCTTTGGGGCCGAGCCTCTGTTATTATTATTATAATTACTACTATATACCTTGATTGCACCAAAAAAACTATGCAGCAAAAGCTATTATGAAATTCAAAAAGTACCTAAATTAATCTTTAATGTGTTCTTGCACAAATTTAATGATAAAAGAAGCATGAAACTTCAATATTTTTAAAAACAAATTTTAGATTATAGTTTTATTTTGTCGACCTATTTTATTTCAATTGCCCACTCTGAAATCAAAACCTGGCTACAGGGCTGGAGTTTGGTAAAGTGACAGGTGGCCGGAAAAGCAGCCAGAAAAAGTGTTACTGTCACTGTAATGGAAACTAAAATTTCCTGACATAAAGTAGGTCTCATAACGATTTCGGGAAAATAAGTATTACCGTTACGTACTAGTTGGACACACCATCCTAAAATCATTGATAAATGAACATTTTGCGGTGTCAATCTGGCTGGATCCTCAATTAATTTATAAAATGCAACAAATGTTAGGGAATTGAGCAATTTCCCATGTGGGACGGTGTGTTCCAAAAATTTTCCAAACCTCTCCGCTACATCCGAATGACCGTAAAGCATCTTATCACTTTTTAATTCTTTAACCAAACTAGGAAACATTTTTAAAAACTCTCCCCTGTCTTCTTCAGTTATCCAATCCATCTTCGGGGCTGACGGTTTAGAGTGTTGGTTCCATTTGTCACTAAAAAATTAAGGCATCACTGTAATTTTCAAATAATTGCGTACTTTATGTTATTTGTTAGGTTCTTTGGTTTATTCAAGATTGTATCTTAATTGTTGTAATTTTCTCATTAGTATAGATGAAGATTCAAGTTTGAAGTTTGGAGCAATTTTTTTAGTGTTGTTGCTATAGCGTGGTTTACTGACGCGTTCAGCGATATTCTGCACACTCTTTTATTTATTATTAAGATTATTGCTTTTCATGTTTTCGTAATAAGCTGTGTTGAATTAATACGACCAAATTAAGAACAAGAAGTGCTGTTGATTTATAACTGTGGAATGTACATGTTTAAAATTCAGGTTTATTGAGCAAAATACATATTTCTTTAATTATATGGTCGGCTTTCAAGGAAAACGCGCTATAATCTTAGTAAATGAAGATTACTAATTTTCTATGATATATAAACAAATATCTATACTTACTGAGGTACTGAGGTAGATTATGAAGCCTGATTGAGTGCTCATCAGTTACTTCATGCATTTCTTGTCTAGGTGAAATGACACAAGATTCTAGATACAACCATTGAATATGTGGTTTTTATTCAATGATACAACAGAAAACAAATTCGGATATCGGGAACGGGAAACTGTTGAGCAATATATGTTTGCCCTTAATGGCGACTGGGAGGGTGGAAGAAAAATAAGAAGGCAAGAAAAACAATCACACTTTTATGTAAATATTTTGTAAATATTTAAAATCCGCAACTTGGATTGCTACTTTTTCATTAAACTAATAATATGAATAACCATAGGACTCTCATTATTTGCACAATGTTGCTTTTTGGGTTGGTCCAATAACTTAAGCAATGTTGGCGTAATGCTGTACGGTATATGGACCCTATATTGACGTTCACATTATAGTCCAGGCGCTAATATAGGTATTGAGCATGCACTGGAAGTCTAACGCAGTTTGACTTTTGATTATTGTTGGGGGCATATAAAAGATGAAAAATATCGATGTCGTCGCATTTTCGCGGTGGGCATAACATGAGGGGGAGGGGGCAAAGTTGCTCGCGTGGCGATTCACTTTATCGCTTCTAACTCAAAGACGGTAATAGTTACAGCAATGCTTCAAACGGCTATTTACAGCTACTTATATTGGCTACAAAAGATGCCCTACGGATAAAAGTCGTACTTCTAACCGTTTTGATACAAATAAATTATTTCGGAATATATCCAAATCCACTGAAAATCATATTTGCCACATATTTCTTGTATCTGTAAGACAATTTTAATAGTGTCGTTTATATGCTATAAGAGTAATTATAAAAGTACATAAGTATTGTCATCATATTTTAATTGGCATAATGTAGGAATTAAATTCAAATCTTCAAAAGACTGACCGATCACTAAATATGTTTAAGTAATAGCCAAACGTTATTCCGCAGAAATTACTTCTCATATATGGCATCAGTTTTGGTAATGTCCCCTCGAATTAGTTCCAATAATAAATGTCTGCATATCCATCGGGAAGTAATTTTGGTAATCTTCAGAGTGATGATTCATCAATTTTTGATGTATCTGTTACGGTAAGGGTACATAATGTGGTAATTGTATACAATTACCGGTAATTGTATACATTTACCGGAGTCTTTGGTAAAAGTAGAAAATAATCTTAAAAAACCCCCTATTTCCTACTTTTACCGGTAATTGTATAGAAGTGTTTGTATCTGTTCTGCCATACAAAATTTGCCTCTTGTTATTGATTCAGGCAAAAAACCTCTTGTTTTTAGTTTAAAAAAAACATTAATAATAAAAATTACACTTCTTAAAAAAACTATTTGAATTTATTGTTTTTATTTCTTCTTTTGATATCATTTTCTTACTTGTACCGCTAGTCCTTGGTTATTGTATACAATTACCGGTAAAAGTAGATAATTGAGAATAATTTCGTACATTTACCAGTGACTTTGGTGATTGTATACAATTACCGGTCATTGTATACAATCACCAATTACGTACTTTTACCGTAACATATCTACGTATGGCGTATTCCGAACCATTTATGAACGTAAAGGGTAAAAATGGTACTCATTCAATGCTCGCCAGCATTGATGTTGTGCAAATCTCGAAGCAGTTCAGTCCTGCAAATGGAAAAACTGCTCCAATAAGAAACATGTACATAACTGTTTATCAAATAATTCTTCTTGTTGTTCTTATTGCAAATGTGTTGATAAATCAGAAACCCATTACAAACTGAAGAGTCTGACGAAGAGAGCGAAGGCGAGAAAGATTTGTGACTGGGTGCCCAAGTACGTGCTGGAAAATTGTAAAATTGACTGTATGAAACTATCTATATTTATCTAATAACTTACATTATTAAATTTATCTTTCACATATAAGAAATGTGCATTAAATATGATTTTTGATAGAATTTAGATATATCCAAAATTTATTTGTAACAAAACGGTTAGAGGTACGACTTTTATCCTAAGGGTCTTTTTTGTAGGCCATATAAGTAGCTGTAAATAGCCGCTTCAAGCATGGTTCTAACTATTGGCGTCTTTGAGTTAGAAACGATAAAGTGAATCGCCACGCGCGCGACTTTGCCCCCCTCCCCCTCATTTTTTTCATCTACTATATGTCCCGAACAATAATCAAAAGTCAAACTGCGTTAGACTTTCAATGCATGCTCAAACCCTTTAGCGCCCGACCTTATTATTATTATATTATATTATTCCCATAGGTACTGGGGATTACATTGGCGCAACATAAATTGCTATGTTGGCCCAATATAAATTGGTACGTTACTCCACTCTTTTCCACATTGGTCCAAGCGTTCACATTTTATGTAGGGCCAATCTCGATTGCTTATGCTGCACAAATATGCGTACATTTGTAACTTATATTGCGCCAACATTATGTGCTGCTTGGGCCGGAAATCAAGAAGGCGACTAAAACGAATCTGCAATTGAAAATATATCTTTAACGAGGTTGCTAGTCGCACATGGATCTTTTGGGCATCTTCGTACTAGTGCATGATTATAAAAATGTGAAGACGTGCTATGGTAATATGTTTGGCAATTCTTCTTCGCTACTGTGAAAACGTGGTGCTTATCCGAATGATTTCACATAATTTACGTAAGTCGACTTTGAAACCATAATAGATGTACAGGATTAAGATAACTGTTTACGTCAAAGATCATTTAATAACATGTAGTTGTATTAGGCGGGTTTATCTACTGATAATTAACTCATTGCCAAACAAGTCTCGTCTCTCTCCCATTATAGTGGTGTAATGTAATCTTTCAAACGCATTTGAGAGGAGAGATGAGCTAAGTAATTCAATCAATATCTCGCCTTGACTTTAAATAAATTTCGACCACTTACCAATGTCCACGTGCGATAGAACCCGCGCCTTTCAGTTTCTCCCATAACTTCGAACAATTCCAAGGTTTCGCATACAGTATCCAGTGCATTACATTTGGATTTGTGCTAATGATGTTCATAAACTTATTAAAACTGATATTAAAAACTCGTAATCGTAATTCAAATCAACTTCCCCCACTCTAATTAAAAGTATAGCTATTTTATTCGTTGTGAGAAACACGTAGGAACCGAAACTTTATGCATTTTTGCTCGGCAAAGGTGGGTTCCTACTTCTACTTGGCATGGCGTGATATAATACCTATCATGCCACAATACAACCATATCAGGATTGTTCCTGTAATATTTACACTAGCGCAAGTACGTTACAGATGAATTCCCATCAGTGTCTACTACTTGAAAATTAAAGCAAATTTCCAGTCCGCCGGTTTAGGTTGCTTAGTATGCGATATGGTACATTGATTCTGAATCACCATGTAACTATAAGTTCTTTTTTTATGGGATTAAACTTAGAACAATTTTACCATCCAATCGAAATAGCGCTATGGAACAAACTACTGCAATGTGAAGACCAAGGAGTTCTCCAATGAATCTGCGTTACTGTTATCATGATACGAGAATAGGGGAAACAACAATAGTTAGTGTACCTAGGTACTTATTGTACGAACGTGTGATTCTGAAATTGTACCTAGTTATTTTCTTTGTTTACACTCTGACGATATATCTAAAGGTTGTAAAATCTCCATTGCTTTCGGGTCCAAGATTCATGGATGTTGCAAAAATTTGTGAGGTCCACGACCAAAATCATTGTATCGCAGTACCTCTCTTTTTAACTGTAACCTGAGTTGACATCATGTTTCAGAGGTAGATAAAAAAGAACAAGTAAGTCAAGCTTCTCATGGCAGGAGATGATCATATGTAACTGCAAGCGAGATGGTACAAAACGATGTGGAGGCCAATTTATTAATTGCGCGAATTCCTGTGCCCACTGAATCGTAACCCCCAGCATATATATAAATATGACCCTTTATCCAATAGGGTTAAAGAAGAAGAAATAAGCACATGTGAGATATAATTTATTAATTGTTCAGAACTTATGGTTGCAATATTTGAAATCTACATAAATATTTTCTTATTACTCTATTTATCTGCATGCTATTTCATTAGCAGTCTATTTTTTAAGATTTTCCAGCGTTTCGGAACCCAGCTGGACCTTGAGATTAACATTTTTCTTTAGTTATTAAAAATGAAGTTTATAGGAAGGCGAGGTTTTGTTATAAGGTTTAATTTATGTAAATTTGAGCTAGATAGGTAATTAGTCAAATGCTGCGCTACAACGCATCAAACGGACGGTGCAGAAGGGAATGTTTTATGTACTTATATGTTCTGAAACGGACGTCACGTTTTAATAAACGCCCATTTAACCTTGCTCTTAGTGTTACTACTACCTACGCATGAAGATTCAGGATTCATCCTGTAAGTAATTACTGAAAAAAAAAGGCGGCGGGTGCTGCTCTAAAATAACAAAATCATACTTTAAATTGGTCACTATCGGTTTCTGTCAATGACGCGCAATGGAATTTTTAACGCATTTTTGAAAAAAAAATACGCTATTATATTCGTTATGGCTGGCTGGCTGGCTGGCTGTCCGACTGAGATCTCAGCAATTACAATAGCTAGAGACTTCAAATTTTCACTAAAAGCTTTCTGCTATAGTGTAGATGTACATCCTCTAGTCTATTTTGAGTTAGATAATTTTAAAATTCGCTAATAAAATACTGATCGGTATTACATAAAATGCGCTTTCATCGTTCATATATGCTGATTTACAACTTGTTTACTAAATTGCTTGTTAACATATAGATAGTAATGTTGTCTATCAGAATCTATCTGTTGATGGGGTCAAAACATCAAATACGAATTTCTCGTCAACAAAGTATTGGATGATGCTATCCGGGCACATGTGTTGAAACATCCTTACGGGGCCGCTTTAACTACATCTCAAAATGTTAATGTAACTAGGGCACTTTTTTTCGCATGTTGTGTGCACAGTTTAAACTTGGTTTTGTATTTCTGCGTATAGTTGTTGGTTGCGTTAGTCAACCACCTCTTATCTTTTTAAACGTCGTACTTGATCTTATTTTATATCTGACCAGGCACTAGGTAACATGCTTGTGTGAATTTTGGACGATATGTTCCTCAGTCCCATATCACGTTATTGTTTACTAAGTGAAGTGATTCAGACATTTTTAAAACAACCATATTACACTCACCTGCTATCAAAAAAGTATTGGTAAGTTTTTTGAGTTCAAAGTGAAGCAAAAGGGTTTCAGGCGTTTCCATTTACAATAGTATATTAAGTATGGAGAACGGTAAGGGATTTTTACCGTTCGAAGACAATTGTTTGGAGGAGGAGCGGAGCGACGACTCCAATTATTGTCTGAGAACGGTAACCCTTAACGTTCGACGTGCTTATAACATTTTTTGCGCGATCGAAATTAAAATTATTCAACCAATATAAATATGCACTAAGAAATTAACGAGCAGAATAAATCGAAATGATCGAAGTGGTATGGTGTACATCACTAGGTAACCAGTTTATTTGTCAAAATTGAAATTAATAATTTCATAAAATTGTGCATGTGTCTGATGTAGTTTGCTAGCTTTGCACTTCCTTTATGACTTTATGAGCCAGGTATTTGCCGGTGGCCGAATGGTATGTCGAAGATTAAATTAAAGATTAAATGTAATGTAAGACTGTTAACATTGAACTGATTGTTTTTAAAAAGGCGTCGGTAAGTATTTTTGCTGTTCTGTTTTCAGATCGGTAAGTAATTTTCGTAATCATAGCAACTGGTAAATTCCACTTACTGTCATGGAAACACATGGTAAATAGTCAGAAATGACCGATCGCGCAAAAAATATTTATACGATGTCGTAACAGTGTAGGTACATATTTGTAATTAAAAAAAAGCGAAACTGTAAACCAAATCAAAGCTACGTAAGTAGGTAGTTACATAGTTATTTTTTCTACGCTTTCAAATAAACATTATTAGAGAGGTGTGACTCGACGGGATTATTGAATCCATTTTCAATAGACATCAAGTCTTTAAAGCACGCGCAACGAGTTTAATGGCACGACGCGAAGCGGAGTGCCTTTAACGTTGCAAGTGCTTTGAAGACCAATTATACACTTGTATCTTAATGTACTATTCTTTATTAATAGAGACCTCTGCACGAATTTTTGTGAAATGTATTTAGTAAGGAGTATCAAAGTTTAGGTGTTGTTAGTAGAGTATATATTATACATTTTTACTTTGTCCCGGTACTTCACTTTGCCCCGGGTTCCACTACCCTCTAATGTGGGTCGACGGTCAATTCTGAGGTACCAAGTGTTACAGGTATGTACGTACAAATTGTACCCACTTTACTTACAGTCTGAGGACTGATTCTTACGTATGTTGTAGGGAATATTGTAAACAATTATAAATGAGTACTACCAGATACTTGCTAATTAAGAGAATATTTAGGAAAATTTCTGATTTTGATTCCTCTTGCATTATATCGCGTAGATTTTGAACATATGCCAGGTGGTCTTTAAATGTTTATGTCTAAAGACCAGAACAAGATCGGTAAAAACCTAAACATGGTAAATATAGCATGCTACTACCTTACAACCCCACCATTTACTAAAATGTTTCGGTTTAAAAAATACGCTTTATCTATCTGCACAATTTGTTTCATGTTCAATTTTTATTTCCTTTAGTAATATATTAAACATTTGCTTTTAAAGTGGCTATACTGTACCTATTTTCTACACCCCGAAATTTTTCTCAAATAATTATTTGCTCTTGAAATAGGTTATGAAAATGATATTGAACAAATTATTAATTGTTATTATTAACGTGACTGAAAAGAAAACAGCATTTTATGCTATTGTAGTTCATCACAAAAAAAATGGTAATAACAATAAAGGTGTAGATAATTACATTATAAACAGTTTTTGTTATAAAGATAATTTTTTCGAAACTCAACGCCTACCTAATAAAACCCAAAACACCGCACTGTGGCCGCCATTTTTCAAAATCTCGGCTTTTGCACAACTTCTTCGTTCGGGGACTTTATAAAATTTCAATGAGAAGGCATCAGATTCCCTCGCTTTGTGACAATTTTTTTGAGAATCTAAAATGACTAGACTAACATTTTTTTTCAAAGAAAATAAACAAATCAAATTTCTGCACGTTCGACATCTAGATCTCATGAATTGCTTGTTTCGTACACCACCACACTCCTGTTACAGTATATTTGGTTATGATTTTCTTTTAATTTCAGTCATAGTCTAAACACTCTTCACCCTTTAAGATATGATACGTCGGTGGAGGAATGCATGCCATACTTTCACGATTTGGTTGACGTGTTAACTAGCACAACTGATTTAAGATTTCGAAACCTGCCTGAACGTTACAGAAAGACGCTTACTTACAATGTTCCGAAAGGAAAAAGGCTTCGAGTACGAGCCACTGTTACAGCATACAAAATACTTGAAACTCCTAAAAATCTGACAACAGAAAACCTGCGGTTGGCATTTCTCTTGGGGTGGTGTGTTGAAATGGTAAGATACAATATTTGAATGCAATAAAAAGTTTAAATTCCATTGTACCATTGTGCTTTCGGGGTACCTAAACATCATACTAAAATTCTGGCAGAAGATGATGCAAACTTCGCATATGACACTTGGGTCCATATAATGCGTTTCATTTTTTTTTTGGACGGAGGTTCTTAAAACACTGCTACATAAACCCAATCTGATGTGATATTTGTCCCACTAATTATTTTGCATTTTAAAACGCTTTTAGTTTTGAGGATGTAGCAAAGCAATAGAAATCATTTACTCATTAATTTATAAAATTGGGTGTTATTATTATTATTATTATGGTCGGTGTTTCTTGTGAGAACTCAAGTCTAGCCTGGTTAACTAATCGCACATTGGAAATCTAGGGAATAGGGATAGTATGTAATTCATACTTACCAACATAGCTAGTGATGGGCACAATAGCTAACGCTATCAGGAAAGTTATTATTATTATTATTTTAAGTTATTCTCGCTGTTGCGGATCTATGATTACACGACGGGTTGTTTCCAAGTCGTGCGATCTTCTATTGTATTTGATGTAAAAATGTTCTAACTATGGAAGATGTTTTCAGAATAATTGCTTTCTGCATATTTGTGTGAGTGTAAGTGTTAAGGTCGAGTGTCTTGAGGTGACGCGTGAAGTTTTTGCTGGTGATTCCTGTTACCGATATCACAAGTGGTACTATGTTCACACCCTCTTGTCTCCAAACTTCTTTTAATTCTATAGCTAAAGGCGTGTATTTTGTTACCTTTTCTTGCTCCTTTTTAATGACGTTTACATCATTTGGTACGGCAATGTCTATGATGTATGTTTGTTTGGCAACCTTATCTATGAGTGTGATGTCGGGGCGGTTGCTGGTCACAGTTTTATCAGTGTATATTGTTCTATCCCAATACAGCCTATGAGTTTCATTTTCTAGTACATTGTCCGGGAGATAGGTGTAATACGGTACGCGTTTTGTCTGGATGAGGTTATGTTTATGGGCAAGTTCTTGATGTATGATCTTAGCGGCTGCATTATGTCTTTCAGTATAGTCTGTGCCGGCTAGTAATTTACAACTTCCAGTTATATGGTCAATATTTTCGGTGGTTTGATGGCACTTTCTGCATGTGTCCGACTCGATCGCTTCTTTTATTATAAATTTTCTGTAGTTCCGGGTTGCAATGACGTTATCTTGGATGGCCAGAATGAAGCCTTCGGTTTCAGGATAAATTTGTCCCATTGTGAGCCATTTGTAGGTCAACTCTTGATCTATGTACGGGTTCTGCACGATGTTATAATGTTTGCCGTGTAATGTTTTTCGTGACCATTCTTCCTTTTTTTGTGTAATTGTGTGTGAACGTTCTAGTTGTGCATGTTCTTCGTGAAGGTTTAGTGGCGTGTATCTTCTATCTGCTTTGGTGATTGTGCGATGTAGTGGAGTATCTTTGCTATGAAAATATTGTCTGAGGTTGTCTATTTCAGAGTTATACAATGTGTGGAAGTCAACGAGGCCTCTTCCTCCTTCAGGTCTACTAATCGTAATACGTTCGATGCACGAGTTCGGGTGTAACTTACGGTAACGTGTGAGCTGTGTTCGGTTCAGTCTGTTTAGTTCGTCAATATCTGTGTGTGACCATCGTATAATTCCGAACGAATATCCGATTACCGGTGCTGCATAGGTGTTGATTGCTTTGAAAAGATTTTTGGAATTTAATTTCGACTTAAGTAAGAGAGTCAATCTATGTTTGTACTTGTCCTTTAGTTGCTGTTTGAGTCGTGAATGATTGATGTTCGTGTTTTGCTCAAAACCCAGATATTTATATGTTTCTTCTGGTGCCATATTTTGTAGTGTTTCATTGTTAAGTGTTTCTGGTGTTTGATTGGTCTCATATGTTCCTTTTCTTATGTACAGTAATTTGCATTTATTAATTCCGAATTCCATGCCAGTATCTTTAGTAAATTCTCCAATAATTCTAAGTAATGCCTGCATATGCGTTTTATTATTTGCGTAAACCTTAATGTCGTCCATGTACATAAGGTGGTTGATTGTGTATTGTCCTGCTTGTTGATCTTTGATTTTAAAGCCATAGGTGGTATCGTTGAGAAGGTTTGATAGTGGGTTAAGGCACAAACAAAACCACAATGAACTTAGGGAGTCACCCTGGAATATACCTGTATTTATTTCGATGGATTCTGTTTCTATCTTTGTTGAAGAGTTAGCTACAAGTATTTTTGTCTTCCAGGTTTGCATGATGGTATGTAGAAAGTTTTGTATGTGTCGGTCGATTTTATAGATGTTCAATACTTTAAGAAGCCAGCTGTGTGGTATAGAGTCGAAGGCTTTTTTATAATCTATGTAGCAAGCTACAAGGTTTCGATGCTGTTTTTGTGTCTGTTGCATAATAATGCTGTCTATAATTATTGGTTCCTTGCAACCTCTACTATGTTTTCTTCCGCCTTTTTGTTCTGCCGTTAGTATACTGTGTTTTGTGAGATGTTTTTCTATTTTGTTGGTGATGATAGATGTGATGATTTTATAGAGAGTACAGAGACATGTAATCGGTCGGTAGTTGGCTGGATTCTGTGTGTCGCCGTTTTTAGGTTTAATGAATGTTTTTCCTTGTGTGAGAAAGCTCGGCATGGTTTGTGGTTCCATTATCACCTTGTTTATATGTTCTGTGAGAAGTTTATGTAGGGATGTGAAGTTCTTATACCAGAAGTTTTGTATGTAGTCGATCCCTGGTGTTTTCCAATTATATGATTTTTGCAATGTTTGTTGTAGCTCTTCTTGAGTGACTACGTGATCTAATTGTTGCGCTAGGTTTTTATTTCTCTCTTGTTCTGTGACAATCCAAGTTCCCTCAAGGTTATGTGTTTTGTGTCGTGACCAAATGTTTTCCCAAAATTGTTGTATCTCTTTGCCGCTTGGAGGAGTGACATTCAATTCTTCACAGTCTTCTAAGTTTCTGTAGAAAGATTTTTCGTTACGGCTGAATTGTGTGTTTTGGATTTTTGTGAGTCTTGAGTCTTTGTAACGCCTTAGCCGTGTAGTGTAAACGGCTAGTTTCTGTTTATATGTATCGAGTGCTTCTATTAGGGTTTCTTTGTCGTTATGAATAATTTTTTGGACATGTTTAATAATCCTCTTTGAACTGTTCCCTTGAGCGTATTGTGTTAATCTGCCAATGGTCTGTCGCAAATCTTTAATTCTTTTTTCCAGTCTTAATTGCCATTTAGGTTTCCGGTTTGATCGGTTTATCGTCTGTACTAGTGTTATGGTTTGTTTGTTTAGTGTTACGACTGTCAACGCTGCTGTATATATAAGTAGGTTAAGATGTTCCAAGGTGGATGTGTTTGTTAGGTAATTAGGCAACATGCTATTAACAGAGTTTATAATATGGGGAGTGTGTCTGGTAAAAACGAGTTTAGGTATTGGTATTCTGTTGGTCGGGTCTATACCTTCCCATTTAATGAGGTTAGATTGAATGTTTTCATCTATTTCTTGTTTGATGTTTATGGTGTTCTGTTCTGTGCTGTGTGTTTCGGTAATGCGATGTGCGTGTTGACTGTTATTGCTCTTAAGGTCTAGCCACACATAAACGAGACGTGTACGATACGAGCGCGAGACGAGTGCCGGCACGAGCTCCGTCCCTTGACGTCCCAGTCACACTGTAACGTAGACCCGTTGCGAGCGATAGTATACCTAACCTAGTTTGAGGGTTCAGTGATGTTTTCAAATTTTACTAGTACTGAATTGGCTATAATAGCCTTGGCGCTAGATGAAGAGGATAATTATAAAACTCAATCAAAGAAGAAAGTATGGGTCCATAATGCCTGGAAAAGTAGGGATACAGAAGGGGAATTTATAACACTGTATCCACATTTACTAGACGATGAAACAAAGTTCTCCGAATATTTTAGGATGACACAGGCAACGTTTCAAGATCTATTAGGAAAAGTAGAAAATCAGTTAAAAAAACAAGATACATTTTGGAGATCTGCAATTGAACCTAAACAGCGGTTAGCAGTTTGCTTGAGGTGAGTATTTTGTTCGTATATTTTTTGCATGAAGTAGGTCTAAATATATCCACTCTGATTACAAGTAATATATGGCCGCTCTATTAACGTTTATTTGAAAAAAAAACCTTGTCATACATATTACATTTATGATTTAATACCATGGTGGCTGGTGGTGTTGGTCGCTCTGCTGCATTTCTGATTGAGTAGCGTTATTATATTCTGGAGAAGGCAGTGGTAGATTGTATTGAGGGGAAGGAAGTGGGGTGGAAGCATAAGAAGAACTAGGTGAAGAGTAAGTACTTAGTGGTGACGCTTGAGGTACGTGAACAACTCGAACTTGGGAAGGTAGCACAACCATTGACTGATTATCCAGGAGTTGCTTTCTTTCCAGCTCTTGAACGATGCCAAAAATCTTTGTCTTCCCTTCATTTAAGAGTATTGGATTCAGGGCTTTCAATGTGTGTGATACGCCGTTTAAAAATGCATCAACTGGATGAAGCTGCTCAGAAGATGGTGGAGGTTGCTTCTGCCTTTCATTTCTCTTTTCTTCCAAAATATATGACATCAGCTGAGATGAAGCACTTTGATCTTGACGTTTATCGATTGTGTTAGCAGAAATCTTTTTCTTTTTGTGTATGGGCTTCGGGAATGAATGAATCATTGCTTGCGTTTCTTTCAGCATTTTCTATTGTCTTCTCCAACTCGTCATTTTCTGCAAGGAGTGTATCACTCTCTTGGGTCTCTTCTATATCATCTTCATCACCTTCCGCATCTTCATCTTGTAACTGGGATACATTTGATAAAGTTTCTCTTTCAGACATTTGGGGCAATATGAATTGTAAAATATCTTCATATTTGTATTTTCTTACGGGGCCAGCAGCCATACCTGTTGTAGTTTTCCTTTTCTTTAAAATTCTGCGAAACTGATCACGTATATGGATCCATTTTGTTTTGCATGTTATTGGCCCCCCTGCAATGAATAAACAACCATATACATTTTCTCTGTTATTTTATGATGAGTTACATAACAATCACCGGTGAATATAATAATATAATTTACTATTTTTTTGTTCCAGATTCCTAGCAACCGGGGATTCTTTCAAAACAATATCTTTCAGCTTTAGATTGGGTCGATCAACTGTGCAATCCATCATTCATCATACATGCCGAATAATTGTTGACATTCTTTTAGAGGAGGTTATGCCGGTGCCTAATGAAGATACATGGAATACAATTGCAGATTACTTTTGGAAAATGTGGCAATTTCCTAACTGCATCGGAGCTTTGGATGGCAAGCATTGTGTAATACAAGCTCCTAAAAATAGCGGCAGTCTTTATTGGAATTACAAAAAGACGTTTTCTTTGGTTCTTTTAGCTCTAGTAGATGCACAGTATAATTTTATTGCAGTAGATGTCGGGGCTTATGGCAAAAATTCTGATGCAGGCATACTTTCCAACTCAAACCTTGGGACGTCTTTAGAAAATGGATCAATAAATATACCAAGAGGCAAGAAGCTTCCAGGTTCTGATGTTGACCTACCCATGATAATTGTTGGTGATGAAGGCTTTCCTTTGAAAACCTATTTAATGCGACCTTATCCAGGAGCAAACTTGGATAATGAAAAAAAAATCTTCAATTATCGCCTTTCTCGTGCAAGGAGAGTTTCAGAAAATGCTTTTGGAATTCTTCAATAAAAGTTTCGTATATATACAAGAAGATTACAGGGCACACCTGAAAACCTTTCAGTTATTATATTAGCTACCTGTGTCTTGCACAATTTTATAAGACAACGTGAGAGATACGCCCATATTGCACGAGTATCAGATTCAGGTGATAGTACGTTAGAAACGTCCGAAAATTTACAAAGCTTACGTCCGACTAGAGGAAGAGCAACAAATGCAGCATTTCAAGTTAGAGATCTCCTTAGAACCTACTTTGTATCTCCAGCAGGTCAGGTAGAATGGCAACACAAAGCAACAGACCTATAGGGCACAATCTACATATAGACTAAAATATTATATCTACAGCTTTATAAGAATAAAATTGAATAAAATAGTAAATCAAAAGGTTCACTTACCTTCTACCTGTAGATCTTCTGCAATTTTTTTCCAAACCCTTTCTCTATACTCATTATTTTTGTATTTGTTATTACTGAGATCATAGAGTACGGGATAACGTCGCACTTCTTCAATAAGTTTCTCAACATCCATTTTAGGAAAGGTAAATATTCAAATGACGCTGAAATTATGTACCTACTACCTAATTGCACTAAAAACACATACTGGACCTATACGCGCAGCGGCACCGGCACGAGAAAAATTAAACAAAACTCGTCGGCTCGTTGTCGTTAACCGAATCTCGTAGTCGTCTCGTGTTCGTTACGTTCATGTGAGGCTGAATGTATTTAAACCTGTGCTATTAATTAAAAACGAGCGTCGCACGACACTCGTCTCGTGCACGTATCGTGCACGTCTCATTTATGTGTGGCTAGACCTCGCACGACACTCGTCTCGTGCACGTATCGTGCACGTGAGGCTGAATGTATTTAAACCTGTGCTATTAATTAAAAACGAGCGTCGCACGACACTCGTCTCGTGCACGTATCGTGCACGTCTCGTTTATGTGTGGCTAGACCTTTAAGTGGGGTCGTGCGTGTTGGTTCTTCCGTGATCTGAGTACTACCTGCTGCGATTTCGTGCCGTGTATCTGCGGGTTGTTGATTCTGGTTTAAGTGTATTGCAAACTTGTTCCTTGATAAGTTGGAGAGATCTTTCTGTTATTCGTTTATGTGTGGTTATCGATCTTTTCTGGTCCATTAATCTTTGTTCCGTTACATTATTGAGGTGGGGGTACTTTTCTAAAAACATCTTGAGCATGTGTGATCTAAATCCAGATTTGATGGTTTCTAATTTGGAGGCTGTGTAATAACAACGCATGACGTGTGTATTCATTTCATCACTCCAGTTCAGGCGTTGTCGTGGAAGGCCAGCTTTGGTGGTTGCACGATCATTTCCTTGCAAAACATCCATTGCTGGTTGGTTTATTAAATTTCCTGAGTCTTTGGGAGGGTTTCGCTTGATAACGACCTGGGACACCTCAATTCCCCTGCCGGACGTGGTGTCAGCGTTTGAACCGCCACCATTTACGTCATTGTTTTCCGAGGCTTTTCCTATTTGTGTCTCCATATTTTATGGGTCTTTCCCTTTCAAGTGACTTTTACACTAAGCAGGGAATACTGCAGTGCATTCTACTTGTTGTGTACCCGCATACTGCTCGGGGTGGTTGGCTACAGACTGTACGGTTGGCCCTGCATACCGTAGCGAAAGTTGTGAAGCTTCCGGCCTGACATTATTATTATTATTATTATTTTTTTTTTTTTTTTTTTTTTTTTTTCACTTATTAGTATCCCCACATGGACATTTTCGACAACTTAGATCATTGAATGTCCATGCAGCGATGGTCAAGATTTGTTTTCGGTGGTCAGAATTATTATTATTATGGTCGGTGTTTCTTGTGAGAACTCAGGTCTAGCCTGGTTAACTAATCGCACGGATTAAAATCAAGTAACGATTAGTGTCTGTGTCTGTGTCTGGTGAAGTTATGTAGGGTTCTAAAAAAAATAAAAGAAATAAATAAATAAAATAAAAATTCACACCCTCACATTGGAAATCTAGAGATAGTATGTATTTCATACTTACCAACATAGCTATTGATGGGCACAATAGCCAACGCTATCAGGAAAGAAGAAAACAAAACAAAAATATCATTATAATAATTCCTGTAATTTTATTAATAGAGTTTATTGTGTAAGTGTTTCTTTGGCTTTGCGTTTGGGTTGAATACGAGTGGGTTGTGATAACGTGGTGTGTTTATGTGAAGAAGGAGTTTTGTGTTTTTTAATTGTGCTAGGACGTGTAACTTTATTGGGTGGACCTGTCTTTGTAGTGCAAGTTGTGTTACTTGTATTTGTGGTGTTTCTTTGTTCTTGAGGTTGTATTTGTGTGGTTGCTTGGGTTTTTGTTATTGCTATTCTTGCACCGTTGCATCTAGAAACTGCAACCGCACCGCAATACACAACAAAGTGTAGTTGATGTAAGCTTGTGTTATCGTTAATGTAATTTGGTAAAATGTGGTCATTTAATATTTGTGAAAGTGTGCGTAATTTTGTAGTGTGACTTTGTTTAGGTATTCGTGCTCTTTGTGTTGGGTCAGTGTTTGAGAATTCTAGCAATGCATTGTCGAATTCTTTTTGAAGGGATGTGAGTGTTTGGTTCGTGTGATTATTTGTATCTATCGATGGCTGCAGTGTCGCAAATGTCTGTATTTCAGAGTTGTTTAGAACGGATGTATTATGTTGTACGGTGAGTGTGTTGTTTGTGTTGAGTAGTGCTTCAATTTCGTGCCTGATTTGTTCCTGTGTGTCTAATGTAAGGAGTGTATTTTTAATAATAACTATACGTTGGTCTGCAATGCGTTGTTCTGTTAAGTGTGCTAAATGTGGGTATTGTGTAATGAAAGCGTGATATAGTTTACCTCTGTATGCTGTCCTGTCCGTTTCCATCTTCGTGATCTCCAGATACGTACCGAAAATGAAGCGATTCATCCCTTCGTCCCATTTCATACGTCTTTTGGAGGTTTCCTTTGCGCTGGTCCCATCCACAAGCGGTTGAGAAGCAGGCACAAAGGGTTCTTCTTGGTGGTCCTCTTCAAGTGGTCGTTGTCGTCTTCGTGGTCTTCTTTCGGCTGTAAAGGTTTTCGGGTATTATAGTATTAATTATTATTATGGTCGGTGTTCTTGTGAGAACTCAGTCTAGCCTGGTTAAACTAATCGCACGGAGTAAAATCAAGTAACGATTAGTGTCTGTGTCTGTAGTCTGGTGAAGTTATGTAGGGTCCTTAAAAAAAAAAATCAGCACACGTACATTGGACATATTAGAGATAATGTAATTCGTACTTACAAAACATACCTATTGATGGGCACAATAGCCAACTCTATCAGGAAGAGGAAAACAAAAACAAAAAAAAATCATATATAATATCCTGTAATTTTATTAAATGGATTTTATTGTGTAAAGTGTTTTCTTGGGCTTTGCGTTTGGGTTTGGAATACGAGTGGGTGTGATAAGTTGGTGATGGCTTCTGTGAAGAAGGGTTCTTGCTGTTTTAATTTGTATTTATGGTGTTTCTTTGTTCCTGAGGTCGTATTGTGAGGTTGCTTGGTTTTTGGTGGAAGATATTGCAGTATTTTGTTTGAGCCTGATGGTGTGTTAAGGTTTTATTATTTATTAATTATTATTATTTATGGTCGGTGTTTCTTGTCGGAACTCAGGTCTTAGCCTGGTTAAACTAATCGCACGGTATTAAATCAGTACGATTAGTGTTCTGTGTCTGGTTTGGTGAAGTGTATGTAGGGTCCTTAAAAAAAAAAAAAAGAAAAAAAAAAAAAAAAAAAAAAAAAAAAAATCACACACGTACATTGGACATCTAGGATTAATGTAATTCGTACTTTACCAACATACCTATTGTGGCACAATAGCCAACGCTATCAGGAAAGAGGAAAACAAAACAAAAAAAAGAATCATTATAATAATTCCGTTAAATTTTATGTAAATTGGAGTTTATTTGTGTAAGTGTTTCTTTGGCTTTGCGTTTGGGTTGAATACGAGTGTGGTTGTGATAACGTGGTGTGTTTCTGTTGAAGAAGGGTTTTTGTTGTCTTTTTATTGTATTTATGGCTGTTTCTTTGGTTCCTGAGGTCGTGTTTGTGAGTTGCTTGGGTTTTGTGGTGGAGATATTGCCAGTATTTTGTGAGCCTGTGTGCTGGTTTAGGTTTTGCGTTTCGCGTTGTATAACGAATGGGTTGTTCTGAGAAGAACGAGTATTGTGTTTTTTAACTGTTGCTAGCGGCGTGTTAACTTTATTGGATTGGACCTGTCTTTGTAGTTACATGTTGCGGTTTACTTGTGTTATGATGTTCTCTTGTTTTCCTTGAGGTTGTATTTGTGAAGTTGCTTGGGTTTTGGTGGAGATATTTGTATGTTTTGAGCCTGTAGTCTGTATAGGGTTTTTGCGTTTGGGTTGATACGATGTGGGGGTTGTATAACGTGGTTGTTGATTCGTGAAGAAGGTATGTGTTTTTTAAACTGTGCTAGGGCGTGTAATTTTATGGGTGGACCTGTCTTTTGTAGTGCATGTTGCGTTACTGTTATTATGATGTTTCTTGTTTCTTGAGGTTGTATTGTGAAGTTGCTTGGGTTTTGGTGGAGATATTTTAGTGATGTTGTGAGCCGTAGTTCTGTTAAGGTTTTTGCGTTTCGGTTGAATACGAGTGGGTCGTGAAAATGTGGTGTGTTTCTGTGAGGAAGAAGGGGTTTTGTGTTTTTTAAATGTGCTAGGGCGTGTAACTTTTTGATGACCTGTCTTTAGTTTTTTTTTGCAGTTGCTTACTTGTATTTATGGTGTTTCTTTGTTCTTGAAGTGATTTCTGTTGGCGCATGGTTTATTGTGAGACAATTACAGTATTTTGTGAAGCCTGTAGTGACTGTTAAGGTGTTGCGTTTGGGTGAGTAGCGAGTGGTTGTGTTTGTGATAACGTTGTGTGTTTCTGAGAAGAAGAGTATTGTGTTTTTTAGCTGTGTAGGCCGTGTGGGTGAGGGCGTCTTTGTAGTGCGTGGTTGCGTTACTTGTATTTATGCGTTTATGTTTGTTCAGGAAGTTGTGTTTGTGGATTGGTGAGTAATGTTGGAAATATACAGTTGTGTGTGTCATGTTGTTGAGTCTAAGTGCTGTTTAGCCTTTTGCGTTTGGGTTGAATACTAATGGGGGTGATAATGTGGTTTTGCTTCAGAGTAGTGGAATCTGCTGATTGTAGTATATGTTGTATTCATTTGTTGTGCTTGTTTGTTCGGTAAGTTGTATTTGTGTGTTTGTTTGGGTTAGAGGTGGAGTATTACAGTTATGTTGTGTTTACCGTTTTGTGAGCGAGTTACTGTTGTTTTAACATGTATACGTTGTGGATCATTTCTGGATGTAGTATCTGTGTTATGTTTAGAAATTTACGAACAATATGCATAATGTGTTGATAATT